ATTTTTGAGACCTCTTTTCAATTGTCTTGCAGCAATTTGCTCACTAGGATAGAGAGAGAGAATTGAAATGCAGGAGTATCTCTTTGGTTTTTCCTTTTTGTTTTCCTTGTTCATGGAAGGAGTGCCTATATCTACTGGATTTAAAGATGGGTAAAAAGAAAGGAGTGCTGATATATGTATTAGTATTTTTGATAACATGGAAAGATTTCCTTTTTTTTTTTTTGTTAGAACGAAAGAGATATTATACCAAACACTCCACGGGAACATAGTTCGAATACAAACATGACCAGCAGTCGAAAATAGAAAACAGGGAGGACACGCTATAAAGCGGCCTAGAAATCCCACAGACGGGATATAAAACAAACTAAACCAAATAAAACGTTTAACTATACCACTACCAAAGCCTAGCATGGTACAATGTCCTATAAAAAAGGAAACTAACCAAACAAACAAAGCACGAAGCAGACAAATTAAAAAACTAGAGAGAAAACAAAAGAGAGAAAAAAGCAAAGGGACAGATGTGATAAACTTCAACCAATCTCTAGAGGCGGCCATAATTGCATAAACTCCAACCAATCCCTAGAGGCTGCCATAATTGCAACTCTAGGTGGTAGTTGCGTTGCTTCAAAAAAATCCACAGGTTTTGTGACTTCCATAGTCACCAAAGAAGGTAAGTTGTTAGTTGAATGCGCGCTTCAGCTATATCAGCATGGCCTATTGAACAGATCTGCCACCACCAGTAACAGAATTTTGGAGAACTGGAGTCTATGCCATCCCATTGAATTGGACTCTGCTCCCAGAAAATTTTTGCTTTTGCACAGTGAAAGAACATATGACCAATAGTTTATGTTTCTTCTCCACAGGATTGGCATATATGGTCAATGGTGATCCCTTTTTTTCAACAGATTTGTTTTAACAGTGAGTGTGTCTGTGCAGCATTCCAGATGGAGTGTTTAAGTTTATGGTTCACCTTTAATTTCTCGGTCATGTTTCTGGCTTTTACAATAAGTTTTTGATTTATGTTGTTTTGAGGTAAGTCCATTGTCTGCAGTTTGTGATCAAGGAGATAAGAGTAAGAGGATGAGACTAAAAACTGACCTTTTCTCCCAAAGGTCCAAATCATCCTATCTTCTTTTGCTTGGTTCAAAGTAGAGATTTTGAGAATTGCTTGGCATTCTTCATCACAAAAACCTGGGAAATTAGCCATTCGTTCCAGCTACAACCATTATCATTTAGCAGGTCTTTTACCCAAATCAAATGATCCCTTGCTAACTCCAATAGGTTTGGTTTGAGAGACTTAAGAGATGGAATCCAGTGAGCATCTAAAATTTTGGTGGCTTCACCATTCTCTATTTGGATTCTGAAGCCTTCAAAGAATGTAGGGAGGACCTCCAACCAACAATTCCATAGCCAAAAGCTATTCTGGGATTTAACAGCATAAAAAATAGAGGAAGTTGGGAAGTACCTGCTTTTGAGGACCTGACTAACAAGAAGATGAGATTGAGAAGTAATTCTCCGTATTTGTTTGCATATGAGATCCTCATTGAAAAGCTTTACATCTTGAAAGTCAAGGCCACCATCACTCTTAGGAATAGTCATCTTTTCCCAGGCTCTCCAGTGCAGTCCTTTTTCATGGTTTTCACCACTGCTCCACCAAAAGGCAACACAAAGTCTAGAATCTCTTTTGTTGACATGGTTTTTTGGTAAACCAATTTATGCTCAGTAAATGGAAGATTATATTCCCTCAAAAGGTTGATATCTTCGCGGGTCCCAAAGCAACCACATATCGGGTGAAAATGACACAAGAGCCGACATCTTCATCAACTAACTGACATCTCATATCGGTTATGACATGTCGGTTATGACATGTCGGTTATGGCTTATCGAGCCGATATCTATGACTTGCCGATCCGACATCATAAGGCGGTGCCAACTCAGCACAAGTCATCATTACACCTTGCCAAGTGGCGCGCTACAAGGATAAATGGCAATTAGCCGCCATTGACTTTTCTAAAGTAATGATTACATTTATGATAAATGTTGTAAATAAATATAAAAGGGAGAGAAGAACCTCTCCAGACAGGATATACAAAAAAACCATACTATAATATTCGATAAACTCTGCTTCTCGACTTGGATGTTATTCATTAATCTGTCTTGAATACCCAACGCACTTATCATTATATTACCGTTGTTAATCCTTATATAACAACAGTTTGGCGCTAGATGAAGGGCCTCATAACGTTTTTTAGGTTAACTTTCGCTGTTATAGCCATTTATTCGCTCGAAGTTACCATGTCGCAATCCGGTCGAGATCATACGTCTCATGCTGGCCAGAGCCAATCGACCAATCATTCCCCAAGGCGTTCAACACCACCCCCTCCGGTCACGAATATCACGAACTTTCTCCAAAACCCGGAGTTTATTCAGGGTTTAACCTCTCTTATAGCTCGAGCCATGCCCAGAAACTCGAGTACTATACCCTTATCTACGCCGTTCCCTACGAATCCAACAGAACATCCAACTCTTACTCATCATAACCCTGAAACACACGCAGCGACATTGCATGCTACGTCACAACCACGTCATACTTCTCCTCATCGAGAGGAGTTGACTCGTATAACCGCTAATCCAGTAATGAACAACCAGGTCGCGGAGGAACCCCCTGTTCAAGAGATGACTGCTGAAAGCCACTCTGCTCATCATCAGAGAATTCCGTCGCGTCCTAGACCTACCTCACCGGTGCCTCGTGATCGTAAAGATTTACGACGTCAGATTGAACGGAATCGCATGTCAAGACATAGTGCAGAAGAAATCGAGGTTCTCCGTAAAAGATTGGCTGAAATTGAGACTCAACAGAAGTCACAAGAAGACTCTCCCCGACATGTCTCGACGTCGGGAAATGTTATCATTGAAGCTGATTCACCTTTAGCTCCAGAACTTACTGCGGAGACACTCCCTGCCAAGGTAAAAATCCCACAAATTGGCATGTACGATGGGACTTCGGATCCCGATGCACACCTGGGCCATTATACATCTTGGATGGACTTGCACGGTGCCTCGGACGCTTTGAGGTGTCAGATGTTTTCCCTCACACTGGGGCCACGGGCACAAAAATGGTATTATACTCTTCCACCTCATTCAATTTGGAAGTGGCAACAGTTACGTGCAGCTTTCCGATCACACTTCATCGGAGCTCAAGTTTGTCTTATCCCAAAAGAATCACTAATATCGTGCAAAAGGATGACGAAACCGTTAAGGACTACATATCTCGGTTTAACGACCGAATTCAGAACATGGAACCTTGTCACCGTGAGACCCTACTAGTGACCGCAATTGCTGGATTGAAGCCCAATTCGATGTTTCGCTGGACCTTATGTCAAAACAAGCCGGCTACCTTTCAGGAATTTCTCGTACGAGCTCAACAATTCATTATCGCCGAAGAATCTATGTCGGTACCTAGTTTCGACTTCACGGCGAAGGAAGACAAAACTGAGTCAGTTGCAAAGAAGAAGAATAAGAAGAATTTTGGGAAAGCGCAATATCGGAATTACTCAAAAGGGTATGAAAATACTCCGGAATCCAGAGCTGCCCGAGATCAATATTCAGACAATGTGAGGACAGGCTATCAGGCCGTTTATTCAGCGGGAGCAGCCACGATATTTGAAGAACTGAAGGGAAAGGGAATTATTTCTGATCCTAAACCCGTGAGAACACCTGAAGACAAGCTGGACAAAACTCGATACTGTGCGTACCATAAGTCTCCGGGACACAATACCGATGAATGTCTCGGTCTTTTATCGGCCCTTCTACGTTTAATTGGACAGCCTCAACTTCAAAAGTTCAGAAATTTTGACACTCGCCGGAAAGGAAGGCTCGTAGATCTTTCAGATGAAGAAGATGATGATAATCGACTCGTGAACCCAAAGAGAGTCAGTGTGAACGATAAGGAAGTTTTTACATTTTCTACTCTTGTCGGTACTTTGACCGATAACTGCAAAAAACCCAAAACGCATGACGCATCAAACCTTTCTCACTGCATACCTCGAGTAAATTCTAATACCAAACAGCTAGATACTTCTCGGCGAAAAGCTAAAGCCTATGCTAGGGAAGCGCAAAATGCCAGGAAACAAGTTATGAACGTTGATCTTCGAGATACTATTAACAAACGAAATTGTCCTATCACATTTATCATTGAAGATGCCAATTTGTTTGCTCATCCTCATTCAGACGCTCTCATTATCACTGCTCCGATTGGAGGAATCCCTGTTCACCGAATTATGGTTGATACCAGGGCATATTCAAGTATTTTGATGTTTCGCACTTTCAAGAAATTGGGTTTGGACCCCGCAGACATTAGGCCCTGTAACGATCAGATTCAAGGTTTCAACGGAAGTATTTCTTGCCCTATCGGTGAAATATTACTCCCCATTCGATTTGGCGGCTTCGGACCAAAATCCAAGATCATTATGGAAACATTTAAAGTCTTAGATATT